GTAGTTTTGGATCAGGCCCAACTTGCACAGCTTGAAACTGACATGGTCGCAGCGATGAGAGTATATGTATCATCAGCTGCTAAACGTGCGGTGGTAGTCAAAGAAGACGACCTACTCACCAAAGCCGATATAGCAGCACACCCTAAAGAGGTTAGTGAAGCTTTGTACACCGAACTCAAGATCTGGCTTGATAACCGGTGCTTCGAGATGTATGACTTATCTAAAGCTTCCAACATCATGACATCCAGATATGTATACAAGTGGAAGTTTGTGAAGGTAGACACCGATAATGTTAAAACCATCCGTCTCAGACTTGTCCTTCGCGGGTTCATGGACACGGAGGCGTTTGATGTAGAAACCTTCTCAGGAATTGCTCGAAGACAGTCCCAGAGGCTCCTGGCAAGTGAGGCGGCATGTCATCCAGAATGGATCTTAGCATCCATGGATGATATCGACAAAGCGTTCCTCAAAGGTCTGACCTATGAGGAACTTGCTCATGCCACCGGCGAGGAAACTCGCATGGTTTGCTTCGCTCTTCCACCAGGAAGCGCCCAGGTGCTTCGTGCACTACCAGGCTTCTCTTCTTACGATGAAAGCCGACGCTGCCTCAGGTGCCTCAAGCCAGGGACGGGTACAAAGGACGCCCCAAGAGCGTTCTCCCTCAGGCTTCGTGCGACCACGCGAGCTATAGGCCTCGCACCGACAAGTTGCGACCCTGAGTTTGAATTCAGTCAAGATCTGTTAACGGCAAAACATGTCGACGATATCAACATGACAGGCCGAGAAAAAACGTGGATGACTATGTACAACGTGTCGAAAAGGTGTTTGGTAAATGCAAGCTCAAGAAACATTCTTATGCGAACTGTGCCGTTCGCTACGCCAGGAATGGACAAGGGGATGTGATCATGGATCAGGACGAATACATTAAACAACTACGTCCTATCACGCACCCGGAACTTACGGGAGCGGCGGCTGACGCCCAAGCTACCAAATTCATCGCCGACATGTTCGTTAGCCTGCGAGGAGCTCTCGCCTATGCCCTTCTCACTCAAGTCTGGCTTATGGTGTGTGTGGTCTCTCTCCAGAAGACCCAAGAGCCCGCCAACTTACAGGTCAGACGACTGAATGCTGTGACGCGAGAGCTGATCAGCAGCCCGAAACGTATCACCTTCCCTCGGATGAAACCGACGAACGAAGTATACATACACAGTGATTCGGGGTATCGGAAGCTCACCGGGGAGGAAGACGATGAGATCAAGGGCTACGGTATCCGTGGGGCTAACGTATTACGGCGAGGAAACTCGCCCCAAGGCAAATCCGTCATCCACCTTTGCGACGGACTATGCAAATCACACCGATTGCAGGTGAGGTCCAGCTATGCCGCTGAGGCACTTGCAGCTGCACGCAACCTTGATGAATGCTACCCCACGCTCATCGCTCTCCACGAGCTCAAGGCAGGGGCACTTACTCCACGACAACTACGTGATATGCGTGAAGTTGGAGGCCTAGCCATTAAAGTATCCCTTACTATAGACGCTGAGTCTGTATACAAATCGCTATCCAGCAAAGATCTTAAGATACCGACGGAACGGACTTTGCTGGGACATATCAGCTGGATGCGTGAGCTCATGGATATAGGTATAGTGCACAACGTACAATGGTGTGATACTAGAGACATGACCGCAGATGGGCATACAAAGGGGAGTATCGACCAGGAGCTGCTTTTGGAGGTGATGTCAGGCACTCAGTCATTTAAGTATGACGTGAAGCAGTTTGTTCCCTTTCGGGGTCCTGAGGACAGAAACAAAACAAGCCTATGTCAAATCAGTTTTAGTATGTCCTTGTTGCCCCCGCGGTCCAGTCTGCCAGCACGGGCGCCTAATACAGAGGCGCCCTCCTAGTTGCTCGGAAACGAGCCTTACTATTCACGCTTGGCAACGAGCCTGTTCAGATTGATTCAGGCTCTTGCTTTAATACCCTTCTGTTGGGGGAGGTATAGCCTGTTTGGCTTACCTCTCGCCGGGCCGATAGCCCTTTGATGTCCAAGGGGCTATTCTGCGTATGCGTGAAAATGCTTTGCGAGGAAACTCGCCTTACAGTCTGGTGACAGGCCAGACTGTACGTATAGTTTTTCTTGCAAACAGTCGTGCGCGCGCGGCTATACTCACCGTCTCCTCCCCTCCCGACTTTAAGGGTAGCTCTTTGGGAGATGTTATATAGGATCGGGAGTATAGCTCGCGCGCCGCTGCCTTTGGCTCAAGGCAGGCGCGCCCTATTTGCCTGGACACTGCTGGTGTTCGCTAGGTGCTGGAAGGATCATTACATCGATCTTATCCAATCTTATCCGTCCACTCCCCATACTGAATTACCCCAGCATGGCATTGGACGCTATCTGCCATCCGCTTCCCATGGGATCGGATGCTATTTGACTTACCATAGTCACTTCAGACTGCGTGGTGGGGGTGGTCCTGGACGATTTTTGCAGGGTCGGGGCCCGTGAACACCGTGTGCCCAGAAGCTCCAAGAGGCTGCCATTGTCAGGTGGTGGGAGCGTGGTGGGTGGGGGTTCCTGGAAAATTTTTGCATGGTTGGTAGCACTTCTTATGCACGTGTGCCCAGGGGCTCTAGGAGGCTGCCAGTGACACGTGTGGTGGGGGCGTGGTGGGGGGGATCCCGGACGATTTTTGCAGAATGGGTGGCGCCTAAGAACCAGTGCCCACAGTCCCCAGTAGGCTGCCGGTGTCTGGTGTGATGGTGGCGTGGTGTGGGGGGCGTATTGGACGATTTTTGCACGGTGGGTGGCCCCTAAGATCTTGTGCGCAGATGCCCCAGGAGGCTGCCAGTGTCAGGTGTGGTGGGGGCGTGGTAGGGGGTGTCCCCGATGATTTTTGCAGGGTGGGTGGCGCTTGAAATTTGTGCCCGCAGGCTCCAGGAGGATGTCAGGTGTGGTTGGGGCGTGGTGGGGGGTCACGGACGATTTTTACAGAGCGGGTGGCCCCATAAGATCCTGTGCCCAGAGAGGTTCCAGGAGGCTGCCAGTGTCAGGTGTGGTGGTGGGGACTTGGTGTGGGGGGGTCCCAGACCCTATGCTCAAAGGCTCCAGGAGGCTGCCAATGTCAGGTGTGGTTGGGGCGTGGTTGGGGGGGAATCCCAGATGGTTTTTGCAAGGTCGGTGGCCCTTAAGGTTCCGTGCCCCGAGGCTCCAGGAGGATGCCACTGTCAGGTGTGGTGGGGACGTGGTGTGGGGGGGTCCTGGACGAGTTGTGCACGATTGGTGGCCTCTAAGACTCTAAGACCCTGTGCCCAAAGGCTCCAGGAGGCTGCCAGTGTGAGGTGTGGTGGGGGCGTGGTGGGGGGGTCCTGGACGTTCTTTGCAGAGTGGCTGGCCCCGAAAAGCTTGTACCCAGAGGCTCCAGGAGGCTGCCAGTGTCAGGAGTGGTGGGGGCGTGGTGGTGGGGGGGTTCCGGATAATTTTTGCAAGGTCGGTGGCCCTTGAGATCTTGTGCCCAGAGGTTCCAGGAGGCTGCCAGTGTGCCAGTGTCGGGTGTGGGGGGGGGCATGGTGTTGGGGTTCCTGGGCGATTTTTACCGGGTGGGTGGCCCGTCAGGCACCCAGTCCGCAGGAAATCCAGTCCGCGTGACCGCTTTCAGAAAACGACGCCGGCAAGCGTTCTGCGGAGGACGGGAAGCCAACCCTCGCCGCGGTCTGGCATGCTTCTCCTTTTTCGACCTGGCACTGTGCCTTGCCGCTATTGTCCGTGTGAGCTTGAGTTCAGTCGGAGATGCAGTGGCTGAGTTAGCAGGAGTACTAATCGGCGGATTCTTAAGCACGATTGGGTGCTATGTTAGTATGCAGAGCGGAGGCCGACTCGGCAGACACCCGTGCGTCTCTAATTGCACAAAGCAATTCGTCCCAGTTGGGAAGACTTGGGATAGCGTTGTGTCAGCCCACTGTGATGCGGATTATACCATATCTACTTCCAACATACTCTGCAAGGGCTGCTTGTGCGAAGCGTTGAAAATGGTTTACCGTGTGCAATTTGATAGCATGCGCGTTTCGCGATCTAGCATGGCTTGACCTCGCCATCGGTCTAGACTCAGGGGCATTTGACCTCAATTTGAAGCCTTCCGCCACCCTGCCGGCCTGGGCGTCACCCCCGAGGATGCTTCGTGCCTGCGTGATTTCTTGGGCGGCGCGATGGCGCGAGATCGGGCTCATTCTCGTTCAGACGACACAGCATGCGTCCCAAATGTTTGCTGATCTGCGTGATTGTGGCTGGACGCAGTCGGCTTCCCGACATGTGCTTTTCACATTCCGAGGTCGCCCAGCCATGGGGAATGTAGTAGCAGCCCGCGCCGCCCGGATCGCAGCAGGGCTTCGAGCAGAGGGATGTTGTTGCTTGTTTTTGATGTTTTTTTCTCCCTGAGTCCCCACCTCCGTCCATGCGCCCGTCATCCACCCTTGCTGGTTGCTGCCAGGATTAAAAGCTTTTGCCTTGTGCTGCCAAAGAAACAAGTTGCAGTCTCCGTGACCATTTGGGTTCGGAGCGGCGCTGTGTGAGAGCAGTGTTATCCATCTTCTACATGTGCCGAGCCCTAGCGATATCAGGTGGTGCTTCAACATATCTGTTTCGGGCCGCATCGGATACCATCTCCATGCTGTGCAGATCTCGATCGTCATCACAGGCTTCTTCATTTTTGCATCCTCTCTCTTCCTTCCTTTCTGCGCCCTCCTTTCGCCCCTTCCTCTCTGCTGCTCCTCGTCCTCCTCGTCCTCCTTCTTGATGCTGCCTCCTCCTAATCCTCCTCGTCCTTCCTCCATGTCTCTTTCTCCTCGTCCCCTTCCTCCACCTCGTCCTCCACCTCGTCCTCCTCCTTGCTGCTGCTGCTGCTGCTGGTCCTCCTCCTCCTCCTCCTCCCCCTCCTTGTCCTCCCTCCTCCTCCTCCTTCCTCCTCCTCCTCCTTCTCCTCCTCCTCCCTGCTGCTCCTCCTCCTCCTCCCTGGCTCAGGCCGCCAGGGGCCGGCAGCCAGGCCACGGCGGCGCGGCCCACGGGGCCCCCGGCGGAGCGCCATGCAGGCCGCGGCCACCTCGCTCGCCCGCAGGCGCCGCCGCGCCTCCGTGGCTCCCTCGGGGTGGGCCCACGGCAGGCCCTCGGCCCTCCGGGGGGCTCCGACGCCGTCGACGGGGCTCCGATCGGAGGAGGAGGGGGAGGTGCCGATGCCCCTGCCCCGGCCTCGCTTTCGCTTTTGTTGGGCCTCCAGGGGGACCCTCGTCGCCGCGGCCGGGTCGGCCCCTGATTTCTGGGTCAGAGCGCACCCCGAGCGAGGTCCAGGCAAGCAAGCGAGCAAGCAAATGTCCCGGTCGGACGCCTGCAAGCGTCACGCCCCACTAGTGTGGACGTCAAAATCATAAAGCAGGCCTGCCATGTCGAGCAGCGCTGGCGGCGAAAGGTGAAACATTTGACGCAGTATTCAAAGGCGTGCTTGGGGGGAGGGGAGAAGAAGGGAGGAGGGAAAAGCGAGGGAGGAGGCGAGGTCCAGGGAATAGCTGTATCTTCCGATTGCCCACTCGAGAGGTCGTGTGGGCCCGCCCAGGGGCCTTTCGAGTGGGGCTTCGGAACCGCCTCCCTTCAACTGCGCCTTGCCGGGACCTGCTCCAGGGCCGCTCCGGATGGTATCCTAGGAGTTTTTAGTTCAGGAGGCGGAAGAAGAGAAGGAGGAGGATGATGAGGAGGAGGAGGACGAGGAAAAGCAGGAACAGGAGCAGGAAAGGGAGCAGGAGGAGCAGGAACAGGAGGAGGAGGAGGAGGAGGAGGAGGACGAGGAGGAGGAGGACGAGGAGGAGGAGGAGGAGGAGGAGGAAGAGGAGGGGGAGGAGGAGGAGGGGGAGGATGAGGAGGAGGAGGAGGAGGAGGAGGAGGAGGAGGAGGAGCAGGAGCGGCAGAGGATGATCCTACTCCGCGTCGCTGGGCTGGGAGGCAGCAGCGGGATGGCTCTGCGCTCGGCGTAGGATGACCGTCGGGAAGAGGTCCCAACAGTGTCTTGCACAATTTGTTCATGCCTCGCGATGACAACGAGAGAACCGTCCCCGACCGAAGCCGCCCCGGCAGGCCCCAGCATGCGAGCGCCTCGCTGCTGCACAGCCCCGCCGCGGCGCAGGTTCGCTGGCGGCAGTGGCTTTTCCCGAACATGGCCACGAAGGCCCCCGCCTCCCCCCTCCTTCCCCCTCCGTCCCCCTCCCTCCCCCTCCGCCCCCTTCCTCTTTCCTCCTTGCTCCTGCCTCCTCCTGCCTCCTCCTGCCTCCTCTCTCCTTCCTCCTCTCTCCTTTTGCCTCCCTCCTCCCTCCCTACTCCTCCCTCCTTCGTCCTCCCTTCTTCCCTCTCCTCGTCCGGCCGCAGTTGCGTGCTGGAGGGCGCGGCCGGGCGTTTCGCCTGGAAGAACCAAATCAAATTACAAGACCAGGGCAGCCAGGGATCCCGAGGAACCTCCGAGGACTGGGCAAGGCAAGAATACGAGGCACCGGGGACGGGGAACCCGAGGAACTTGGGGAACCCGAGGAACCTCTGGGGAACGAGCAACGTAAGAACAGGAGGCACCGGGGGCGGGGAACTCGAGGAACCGGGGGAACCCGAGAAACCTCCAGGGAACGGGCATAGTAAGAATACCAGGCGCCAACTTCCAGCCAAGTAAGAACCCCTTAGGCAAGCCTGATTGGGGAATGGTTGCACGGATGTTGGCGAGTTGCTTTCATCATGTGTTTCTCGCCTCAGTGCCGTACACATTCGTGTTAAGCTCCCCAGAATTATACTCATGGAGGGTGGATCTTTTTCAACACGTGAATCGCGCTCGATATTCCCTCAACATGTAGGATGATACTTCTTTCGTCGTGGGACATTGCAGGGATAGACGGTGGTTCCTTCTCAAAGCGGAGATCTCGCAGAGCTTTTTGTTGAATTTTATGATCCTGCCTCCTCGCCGCCCTTACACAGATGGAAGCATGGATGGCAGCCTCTCCGAGGAGGGAATTTGTACACGACCACCGCCTGGAGGATCAATTTTCGGGGACCTCGGCAAGCGGTGGATATCCCTATCCACCGCCCGCTGGGGCACCAGGACGTTAGCTCCCAGGCGGTGGTTATGGATAGATCCCCGCCTCGCAAGCTGCTTTTCGAGGCTGGGCCCTCGCCTGCATCGCAGGACTTGGCGTGCTCGTCTTTCAAGGGGGCACTCCCACAGTGCAGACGAGTTCTTGACGCTTCGCGCATCCTCACCAGCCCATCCACGAACGATGCTTCGGGGAGCTTCCCTTACCGGGGGGAGCGAGGCATCATTTGGATACTTCGGGGAGCCTTAATGAACTATAGGCCTCTTGGATGCCTCCCGGGGTCGCTTGGGATGTCTCCTGGGGGGCTCTTGGTGGCCTCTTAGGGCGTCTTGGGGGCCTCTTGGGCCCTCTTGGGGGCTTCTTAGGGGCCTCTCAGGGGCCTCTTAGGGGCCCTGTGGCGGCCCTCATGGGAGCCTTGGAGGCCTTGTGTTGGAGGACATCGATCAAAGAAGGGCTTCTCCTCTGAGGCCCTGGAAGTCGCCCCTTGAGGCTCTCTTGGGGCACTCTTGGGGCACTCTTGGGCGCTCATGGAGCCGTCTTGGAGCTCTCCTTGGGCGCCTCTTGGGCCTCAGAGGACAGTCGGAAGCGAACAGGCGAGAAGGCCAACACCATGGATCTCTGGGAGGTTTCGGAGGCATCCTTTGGCCTCATGCGGGCGTCGTGCGGAGCCCCTCAGGCCATTTGGCCGCCTGGACCCGTCTTGGAGCGGTCTTGGGACTTCTTGGAGTATGTTCGGGAACGGGAACATATACATTACCAGTGGCGGGCTGTCTTTCAATCCCAGGACTTTGAGGGTCGGGGACGACGTCGGGGTGATGTGGTGCATACTTTTTCCCCGTTTCCCCGCGGAAGCAACGAACAATGTATAGACCATGGCCCCATCTACACCAGGATCCGCTTCCTTGTTAAAGTTTCAGCGCAGGGCTGGAAAAGGCGTTGGTGCATAGAGCTCGGTTCCCTCTACAGTCGGCCTTGATTGGACAGGACACGCGGGAGGCCACAGGACCCTTCCGAGGGCCACATCGCCACAGGAGTGCGAGAAGGCACGCGTCGCGAGGCACAGGACCCTACCCTCGAGCTGGCAGGGTCGACCTACCAATCCGGGCCGGCCGTATGCTGGAGATCAGCCTGAGCGGTCCTGCGCTGCCTTGGAGGCCGTCTTGGGCTGCCAAAGGGGGCCCTCCTGGAGCCGCCTGTGGGCTATACCTCGGGCCCCCTCCGGCCGCTCGCGAAGAGGGCGCCCTCCGTCCAGGCCCAGGGGGGGAGGAGGAGGAGGAGGAGGAGGAGGAGGAGGAGGAGGAGGAGGAGGAGGAGGAGGAGGTCCCCGAAGGGGAAGGGGGTGTGGGGGTTGAGAGAGGCAGCGCATTCCTCTTCCTTGTGCTCGCCCTCTCCTCTCTTCCTCCTCGTCCGCTCGCCCGGGCAACAACTGTCACAGGTAGCTCCCTTTGTTTGCGTCGGTTCGTCCAGGGGTGGGCGCGGTTTGTCCGCCCGCGCCGGCGCCTGCAGTAAGCAGCAACGTGATCGTGGCGTGGCCCGAACTTGTTTCTGCCCAAGTCCTTGGCCAGAGTTTCGGCCACGTTTGCAGGACAGCGATGCGACGAGCATCGACTGTAAACAAAAACCACCTATGCCCTAAAGGGCTGGCGGGATTCGAGCAGGGGCTCATGGGGAGGGGACTTGGGGGATGGGCACTGCAGCATCGCTGAAGCATCTTCGGTTGACTTTGGCCCCCCTCCCCTCCTCCTCCCCAGCTCACCATGGGGGACAAGGACCTTGCCTCTCGTGCCCCCATGGAGGAGGGGAAGAGACAAGAGGGGTGGAATGAAGGAGGGACGAGGGAGAAGGAAGGAGTCGGAGAACCAGGGAGAGAGTCGAGGAGGAGGATGAGGAGGGGGGGGGAGGAAGAGGATCGAGACAGAGTGATGCATGGGCAGCCTTCTGGGCACGAGCAGGAGAGGGCACGCCTGGCTGGGGCCAGGAGCACGCCTTGTCCCAGGAGGCCTCAGGAAGTCCCAGGAGGCCTCTGGCAGCCCTTGAAAGCGCCAGGGATCCTCACCAAGAACACTCGAGCCAGAAAGGCCTAGGAGATACTCCCAGCGGCCCAGGAGGCCTTAGGAAATCCCAGGAGGCCCCAGGCAGCCCTTGAAAGCACCAGGGATCCTCACCACGAGTACTCCAGCCAGAAAAAGCCCCAGGAGATAACCCCAGGAAGCTCCCATGAAGCCTGATCAGGGACCGGACCAGGGTCTGGCTCGCCCCCAGCCCCAGGCCCCAGGTGTTGGGGTCTCAAGCTCTCAGAACACGGCCCCGGATTCCAGGGGGTCGCTCGTAGAGGCGGTGAGGTGTTACCCTCACCCTCATCCTCGTCCTCATTCTTCTCCTCATCTTCCTGTCGGCAAATGCTGCTCCTCCTCATCCTTGCGGCTGTTGCTGCTGCTGCTGCTGCTGCTGCTGCTCCTCCTCCTCCTCCTCCTCCTCCTCCTCCTCCTCCTCCTCCTCCCCGCCCTCCCTGTGCGGACGTGCTTGGCGCGCTCGAAGGAATGATCAGTCGAGCCCAACGCACTAGAGCATATTCTGAGTCGAGTGCTCCGCTACCCGGTGAAGAGGACGTATGCGAAAGGAGCCCTGGATTCACCAGTTGAGCTGTGCCGTCAGAGAGCAAGTGCTGAAGCCTGGTTGACTTGACATGAGGCCTTGTAGAGAGCAGTATGACTCAGGAGAAGACCACGAGAAGGGTGGCGACGCTAGTGGCGCACACGCTACCCAGGTGCACGCCGAGGAAGCGCGCTGCATGCGCAGGCGTGTGCGCATATTGTAAGTGCAGCTCTATCTCGAGGCGCGTGTGCTCAGCGCGTGTGGGTGCTCCAGTCCAAGCCGCTGCCATCAGTTGACGAAGAAGAATAATAATAACAATAAGAATAATAATAAGAATAAGAAAACTACTACTACTAATAATAATAATAATAATAATAATAATAATAATAATAATAATAATAATAATAATAATAATAATATTAATATTAATAATATTTATAATATTATTATTAATAATAATAATACTAATGACAATAAGAATAATAATAAGAGGAAGAAGCGCTATAAACATGACAAACTGTTGGCGCTCCGCGCGGATTTCTTGGATCCGCGCTGGACCCCCCCTGGCGGCGCCTCTGGTGCCGCCCCTGGCGCGCTCCGCGCGCCAGGGAGGGCGTGCCAGCGCAAATCCAAGGAATTCGCGCGGAGCGCCAAAATAAGTTTATGTTTATGGCGTTTTTTCGTCTCCTAATCAGCACGTCCACTCCCTTCTCCCTCCCTTCCCTCTCCGTCCCTCTCCGCCCCCGTTCGCTCTCCTCTCGCTCCACTCCTCCCGGGGCGCCCCGGGCACTCTCGTGCTCCCTTCGACGCTCTCCCTCTCCTTGACCCGTGTCGCGTGCCGCCTCCTTGCTCCCCATCTCCCCCTTCGGGGGCAGGATACCCTAACCAGAGCAATGAGGGGCTTTCCCAGGATCGGTCTTGTGATTCCCCCCCCCCCTTCGAGGATCCCCCCCCCTGGCCGGGCCTAGAGATCGCCTTCTCCGTCTTGGCCTGGGTCTTGGCATCGCTCGGGCATGTGGACTTGCTCTCGGCGAGAGCCATCGAGGAGCACCCTCGATCATACTGCACAGGGGGTGAACGTCCGGGCGACGGCAAGGAGTGGTGTTCCTGTCTGCCCGCATGCCTCCCTCCCCCCCCGCCTCTCCCCTCCGCTGCCCAGGGCTGGAGGCCGAGCCGCTTCGAGCACATGGGCCAGGCCCTGCAGCTGGCCCGCGAGTCGAAGCGCCCGCTGGGGGGGGGGGCTTGACGGGCGGAGGAGGAGGAGGAGGAGGGGGAGGAGGAGGAGGAGGAGGAGGAGGAGGAGGAGGAAAAGCAGGAACAGGAGCAGGAACAGGAGCAGGAAGAGGAGGAGGAAAAAGAGGAGGAGGCGGAGGAGGAGGCGGAGGAGGAGCAGGAGCAGGAGGAGGAGGAGGAGGAGGAGGAGGAGGAGGAGGAGGAGGAGGAGGAGGAGGAGGAGGGTTGGGACCTGTTTGCCCTCGACCGTGCTTGTTCATTCGTCCATCATGTACTGTCTTCCCTTGTGCGAGCATCGACGCTGCGGCTCATGTGGTCTCCAGGGGTGTACGTGGCAACAGCACCTCGAACAGGAGGAGGAAGAGGAGGCGGAGGAGGAACACTAGCATCTTGTTGCGTATGGCGTAAGATTGCATCGTTTCTCCCTGCCGATTCGTGGGTTGAGCTCGGCCAGACCAAAGCCTAGATCAGGGAAGAGGCTGCCCTGAATGCTGTCGATGCCCCAGACATCCAGGGCAACAGGACGGCCGACTGGAATGCAGGTCCGGCCGCAGGCGTGCGCGCCTTACACCCAGACGAAGTCTCCCTGCACGCGGAGGCTCTCCAAACCTACCAGGAGCAAAGCCCTGTAAACTCCGTGAACCAGCATCACGAAGCAGACGTATTCGCCACAACGTGCAGCACTGCACCACAGTAGGCAGCAAGCTTCTTGTCATACTCTGCTGCGTGCGTTTTTTTTTGTTTCTTCTTTTTTCCTGCGGACGACGTTCCCAGAAGCTCGCCGTGCCATGCTTGCGCCGACAGCCATCCTTACATGCGAACTAACTCCTTGGGTATGTTGGGGGCCTCTTGGGGTCTCTTGGGCGCTTTTTGGGGCCTCCTTGGCTTCCTGGGGGCCTCTCGGGGTGGAGGGCCTGGATTTTCCGTGCGTGTTCCTTCTCGTGGCCCCTTTTTGGGGCTTGTTGGGGCACTCTTGGGCCATCTTGGGGCGCTCTTAGGCCGTCTTGGGGCCCCCTTGCAGGTCTCTTTGGCAGTTTTGCGGTGGTCTTGGGGGCCTCGTGGGGCGTTCTGGAGAGTCGGAAAGCCGAAGAGGCGAGAATGCCAGCATCTTTCAAGAACCCACGGAAACTCAATGATTTGTGCCTCTGGGCGCCCTCTGGCCGTCTTGGAGACTTCTTGTCCCGTCTTCGGGATATCTTGGGGGCTTGTTTGGCCGTCCTGGGGCCATCGTGCGCATCGTGGAGCGATGTTGGGGCGACTTGGGGCCCTCGTTGACCATTTGGGGGCCTCTTGGAGCCATCTGGGCTCGTTTTGGGGCCCTCCTGGGCGGGTTTGGCCGACGCGAACCATTCGGACAGACCAGGACAAGCTCAGGAAACGATTGGCCTGGGCCCTTCAAGACGTACAATCCTGGCTGCAGCAGCAGCAGCAGCAGCACAGCCTTCTCAGTGCTGCATGAGCCTTGGGGTACTCCACTTCGTGCCAGTGGCACGGTGGCGGATTTCCTCCGTGCCGGTATCGAGAGGTCCCGTGTAGGTGCCGCTGGTAGCTTTCAGAGCTAAGCGAGGAGGATTACTCGCACGCAGAAGTTCAGACTCAAAGTGGAAGCGAGACGTGGGATAGTAGTACGAGTGTTCGGAGACGTGTGTTTGATTATTTCGTGCATTTGGATTGTCCAGGCACGGTCGTCGGGACAATTCGGGGCCAAGGACTTTTTGTCGGTCTGCTCGGTCGATTCCCCCCACCAAGGCCTTGAGCCTTGAGCCTTGAGCCTCGGGTCTTCTGAGCTCTGAAAGCTGCTCAAAGGCGAACTCCCTGGGTTTAGGGCTCAAGCTCAACCCCACTCATCCAGGTCGAGTTCTAGGATTCTTGTGACAATTTGCACGTATCCGTTATGGCAGGTATGATATGGCAGGACGAGTTTTGTCTGCGCGTTGAACCCTGGTGCGATGTATCTTCTCTGGGCAGATTTCGACATCTCCTGTGTAACTGCCGCTGGTAGCTGTCAGAGCCGAGCAAGAACGACCACTAGACACATCTAGTCTCTAGTTTCTGAATTCTGATGCTAGCGCTGTGGTCCTGCTGCTTTGGCGACCCAATCGAGCAGCAGAGGCCGAGAGGGCCTCAGAGCGAACGGCACACGATGGCACACAACGCAGGGCCTTCACGGCCAGCTCATACGGCGGGGGCCCATGCCAGGAGACACCCTGCCTGCCTCCAGGGTGCCCTGGGTTTTTCCTGTTTTTTTAGATGGTTTTGGCATGGACGGCGTGACGCTCCCACACCAGAAGTCCATGGGCGTCGTGGGGTCTCAGGGCCGGGTTTCTCGTGGAAGGCTCCCTGGGGTCGGGCCCGCGCTGTGCAGGGCCTCCGCTGTGGGTTCCTGGCAGTTTTCCGTGGCCTGCTTGCCCAGGCCCGGGGAGGAGGAGGAGGAGGAAGAGGAGGAGGAGGAGGAGGAGGAGGAGGAGGAGGAGGAGGAGAGGATACGCAGGAAGAGAAAGAGAAAAAGGAAGAGGAAGAGGAGGAGGAGGAGGAGGAGGAGGAGAGGAGGAGGAGGAGGAGGAGGAGGAGGAGGAGTGGGAGGGGGAGACTTGAGCCGTGCGAGCCACCGCGTGTGGCACTGGGCCTGCGGGCGGGAAGCGCGGCCAATGCGGAGCTGCGCTGTGGGGACATGCCGGTGTGAGACTGACCAGGCACTCTGCAACGGCGTTGCGTACAGCAGCGGTCAGGCGTTGCGCCTGTTGGCAATGCGATCACGCTGCCGCGAAGTGTCCTGGGGCAAACGGGAACAAACGTGATAACAGCCCCTCCACTCCTGCATCTTCCCCTGTCCGCTCCCCCAGTCTTCACCTCATCCTTTCCGCCTCCCCTCTTACACCTTTCCAAGCTTCCTGCTCAAGGATCGGGTAATGGAGAATGCATGCATGTTGTTTGACGGAGGGTTCGGAAACAGATGTTGTTAAGATATTGCCACAGGCAGTAGCACATGTAGCTTTCTTCTTCTTAGCAGCTGGGCTGAGGCAGGTACGGATATGGTTTCTTGCAGCTAGCATGCGCAAGTGTTGGCCCCTCGATCTCTACATTTTTGGGGTATACTACACAGGCAATCGTCGTGCTGAAGCGCCCGTGAAGCATTCACTCGTCAACGTCATTAGACATTTGAGCGTCCTCGTTGTTGCAAGAGCACATTTGGGTTGCAGCGGGCTCATTCTCGTCAGGTGCCCCTGCAGCCTCGCGTTGACCCTTGAAGGGTCTATTAATAATCTCTTTGCGCGGTGATGATCCTGGATCACTTCACTACCTTGCCTTCCCTGGCAGCGTCCACTTCGATCTGATCGATCGATCGATTTGATATCGATCTGCCGGCTCGATCCGATATTTTGACTATCTGATGCGACCCGATACTTGCGTGGCGCCGTTGCGCATCCCGGTGCAGCTGATCCAATTCGATCTCGGCTCCGTGCCGATTGCAGCCCGATCCGACGCACGTTTTTGTTTCGTTTCGATCCGCTTTCCCGATTCGATGCTGACCGATCCTGCCCAGGTGATCTCCTGACATGAGGGAGCAGTGATGGCATTTCAGTGTGTCGGCTGTTCGGGGCGGCATGCAGAGCTGCAACAGTGCTGCCAGGATCTTCTAAGACAAGTCTAGTGAGAGTTCCAATGTGAGATTCGAGTATGCGATCCACTGCAGACTTGGTTTGCCCCAGAATTGGTTTTCTCGTCGAATGTACAAAAATTACGGTGAATGCTCGCAGATAATTCCACGTATTTTTCGTAGCCTCGGCGAGAACATCAATTCTGGAGCAACATAATTTTACAGTCGATCCCCTACTCGAGAGATGCGCCCGCAGCAACAGGACCTGTTCATTTTGGGACTCTTGTTCTCCTTCGTTCCGCCTCCATCTGCTGCTGATCTGATTCTCGAGGAATGGACTCTCGTCCCAGTCCACATGAGCATCGATCGTCGTCGTCGTCGTCGTCGTCGTCGTCGTCGTCGTCGTCGTCGTCTTCGTCGTCGTCCCTCGATGTCTTCGGTCGGTCAGTCGGTCGTCCACACCGCAACGCGTAGGGCCAGCGAGCCTGTTCACTCCCTGCCCCTCCCGAATACCCATCCTCGGGAAATAGAAGAGCAAAGTGCGATGAGGATGATGATGATGATGATGATGATGATGATGATGATGATGATGATGATGATGATGATGATGATGATGATGATGATGATGATGATGATGATGATGATGATGATGATGATGATGATGATGATGATGATGATGATGATGATGATGATGATGATGATGATGATGATGATGATGATGATGATGATGATGATGATGATGATGATGATGATGCTGAGGAGGAGGAGGAGGAGGAGGAGGAGGAGGAACGGGAGGTGGTGGTGGTGGTGGTGGTGGTGGTGGTGAGGGAGGACCATGTGCCTCAATGCATCGTTTTCTTAGACCCGCCTCGGGGTGGGCGAGCCTGCGCTGGCTACTGTGAGGCGCATACCCGTCTGGAAGCTGGGATGGGCCGCTGGCATCAACCCGAAGTTCCTTCTCATGGTGGAGAGAGGCTTCTTAGATTGCGGGCGCTGTCTGTTTTCAGGTGTATGGGAGGATTGGCAGGATTGGGATGAGGCTGCTGTCCGCCCTTGTATCGAAGACGCCTGCGGCGAATCACCGCCGCCCCTTGCCTTTTGGAAGCGCCTGTGTGGCCGAAGGTTGGGGCCAGAGTTTGGCCAAGTTATCGGCCAGCCCAAATCCGTCAAACACCGAATGTACATCAATGGATTTGGCCTCTTCGGGCCTTACTGGAGGTCCTCTTGGAGGTCTCTTGGGCCGTCTCGGAGGCTCTTGGGCCGTTTGGGGCCATCTTGGGCCATCTTGGGGGCATCTCGCACCATCTTGGAGATATCTTGTGGTCATCTCGGGCTCTCTTGGGGCCATCGTATTCGTCTGGGGGACCCACTTCGCCGCCTTGGAGGCTATCTTGGGGACGTCTGGAGCGGGAAGACCGACGACCTGGGAAGTTCACGGGTCCTCATTCCGTGCTGGCGCCTCATGCCGAAGGCATTTGGGATTTTTTTTTCTCAGCTGTCACGCCGTCGCTCTAATAGCTGTCACGCCGCGCACCCCCGCGGTCAGCCACTGGGGGCGGCGGATCATCGAGGCCTTGGGACACGATGCCCCCTGGATCCCCCTTGGGGCCTCTTGGAGGCCTCTTTGGGTGGTGCTGGGAGCCCCGGGGGGCTTCCTACAGAGCTCTGGGGGCCCCTCGGTGGCTTATTTGGGGCTTGCTGGCCGTCTCGGGTGCCTTCTTGACGGGGGAAGCTCCGAGCGGCAGATCGAGTTCCCCCTCTCGGTGGCCTCTTTGGGCCTCTTGGGCTCCTTTCGGGGCCCTCTTGGCTCTTGGGCCCTCTGTGGGCTCTCTTGATGGCTTCTTGGTCCGTCTTGAACGCTCTTGAGGCAGAACAGGTGGGTATGCGAAAAGCGTACACCAACGTTTGCCAGCATGGATCCCGAACAGTGGGTTCTTGCACTGGATTTGGAAGCTGTGCGGTGCAAGCTTGGTGCAGGCTATGCGGCGGAGTCTAAGTGGTGCAATGAATTTGCACAAAAGAGTTGACACATCCCATGCTCTTGTAAACATCCCATCCACCCACCCGCAAATCGGTTTGCAAAACCCATGCGGTGGCGATTGCGTTGCATGGTTGGAGTTGGCTGGTGCATTTCTGCGGCCGCGCCAGCCCAAGCGTGCGCGCGCAGCGGCCAGCTAGTTCGGCGCGACCGACGCGGCCGAGGTGGCGCTGACTGCTGGGCACATCGCAGCGGGCACTTCATTTCGAATCAGCGACTTGAGCGGGCGCGGTATCATGGCAGCGCCGACAACGGTAGACACGATGATGGTAGTAGCGATGCTGGTGACGATGTTGACGATGACGACGAAGGCGCGGCCAGGGCGGGCACCGATGTTGATCACGCCGAAGACTATGACGGCGTCTTCGCGTCGGTGATGAGGGTTTTGGGAAGAGTTCGGGCTGCGAAAGTGACCCGCAAGGTGTCATTTGACACGGATCGCGTCCCCCCCCACCAGTGCGCGCAAGGGCGTGCGAGTGATGCCGGCAGGCGGCGCGAGAGGCCTGTTTGGCAGAGTTCCATGGACATGTTGAATGACCGATGATTTTTCGTTAATTAACAAGAGCGTGTTATATATACATATACACATTTATATATATTAAACAAAGGGTGTTGCGAAACCATGTGTTGGCCATGTTTTTTTGGACTCTCGGTTTTGATACCGTTACGAAACCCAATGTTTTTGACGGATTTTGGCATGCGCGCGCGACGACGCGCACGCGTGCTTTTCGTCCCCTATCTTGCGAACGTAATCGCGAAGGTACGCGCAAAAGGCGTTGGAACGATTTCGACATGCGCGCGCGCGAAGCCCGTTTGGTAGCATTTTCTGAACTTGTTGGAACAACCTGTGGTTTCCTAAGGAATCGCAGAAGTGCGCGCAACCTTTTTGTTTGAACACCCGTGTTGCGAAACCCTTTTTTGTTATTTAAATTTGTTTTTTGATACTCGATTTTGAAATCCTTACGTCACCAACTTTTTTTAAATGATTTCGGCATGCGCGCGCGACGACGCGCGCGTGTGCACTTCGTTTTCCCAAGGGGTTCCTGAACATGTATGGCATCTCATGAACGACTGCGCGCGCATAGTTTTTTTCCAAAGGATGACGGGGGGGAGGCCGACACCGTTTGGCTGGAATGGTATGGGCTCGTATTTCAGCAGGGCGGTGGGGCTGAATCGTATGTACAGTACAATACGAACAGGGGTGTCGATAATCCCGGGGGAGTGGGGGGGGGCAGATTGTATTTCCTTTTTTAGAAAGAAAGTAATATTGATTGCGTCCGCGCGTGACCTCGTCCAATGCTCGTGCGAACGCTCCATTCACTCGCTCACAGCTTGTTGGCAACATTCAAATGGGCGGCGACAGCGACGATGGCGAATGACGATGACGATGACGATGACGATGGCGATGGCGATGGTTATGGTGATGAGGATGATTCTGACGATGATTATGATTTTCATGATGACGATGACGACGATCATGATGATGATGCTGATGCTGAGGTTGATGACGAGGGTGGGGGCCATGGCGACGACGACGATGGTGATGATGATGAAACTGATAGTGATGAGGATGATGATGGTGATGACGATGCGGTGAGGGATGATGGTGATGATGTTGCTGGTGATGATGACGTTGGCGATGGCAGCGATGACGCTGGCGATGATGATACAGATTTTGCAGGTGAGGGTGTTGAGGAGGCGTTGCTTGCATACTGTCCGAATAGCTGTCAGAGCTTGTCGGGTAAACCGTTGGACTGTCGCAGGCGTCTGAACACACACACACACACACACACACACACACATATATATATATATATATACATACCGAGGTTACGGGGGCGAGGCCGCCAGGAGTGTGCCTGCGCCCTCCATGGTGGCTCCGGGGCTCACTTTCCCTGTGTTTTTACATGGGTTCGGCGTCCCAGGGCTTCTGAGCCCGCCAGGAGTGTGCCTGCGCCCTCCATGGGGGCTCCGGGGCTCACTTTCCTTGTGTTTTTGCAAGGTTTCGGCGTTCCAGGGCCTCCGAGGGAGGCCGCCAGGAGTGCGTCTGCGCCCCCCATGGGGGCTCCGGGGCTCACTTTCCCTGTGTTTTCAAAAGGGGTTCGGCGTTCCTGGGCCTCGGAGGCCGCCGCCTCCGACCCCCCATGGGAGGACGGGGCGGCCGGGAAGGTCCAAAAAAGTTCAGGAGGGCCTCCAGAGGCTCCCAAAACGGTCCAAGCGGGCCCCGAGTCGCCGAAAGACTGCTCCAGGACGCCCAAGATAGACCCAAGACGGCCCGAGAGGCCCCCCAAGGCACTCCACGATGCTTCAAGACGCCTCTCCAGAGCGCTTCAAGAGGCCGAAATCGAGAGTTTTTATAAGGTTTTATAAGGTTTTCGAGCGATTTTGGCCTTCCAGCCTTTTCGGCTGTCCGACATTCCAAGACGGCTCAATTGGCCCCCAAGAGCGCCCCAAGACGGCCCAAGAGGGCCCCAAGACGGCACCAGAGTCGCCCAAGACAGCCCAACAGAGCCCCAAGACGGCCCCAAGATGCGCCCAAGAGGGGGACCACGACTCCAAAATTCAACCCTCCCGCTTGAAGAGTGCCCCAGGAGGCCCCAAGGAGCCCTCAAGAGGCCCCAGGAGGCCTCCAAGAGGCACCCAGGAGGCCCAAACGAGGCCTAAAGAGGCCACAAAACAGCCCAGAGGAGGCCCCACAACGGTCCCAAAACGGCTACCGAGAAGCTGCGAAACTACCTTCACGACGTCCCCGCAGGCCAACCATGGGATTCAAACCAACACCCATGAGGCCTCTGACCCACCACCCAGGGCACGGTGGCGGAAGCAGTGACAGCATTTGTGCACAGCATGTTCCGGCGGGAGCTTTCCAGAACACGCTGCAGGTGGAGGAGGAAGATCAGGAGGAGAGAAAGGTGGAGTGGGAGGAGGAGGGGGGGGACGAGGAGGAGGAAGAGGCCTCCCAGACAGCTCCAAGATAGCCGAAGAGGCTTCCAAGAGGGTCCTGGGCGGCCCACGAGGGCCCCAAGGCGGTGCCTGAGGCGCCCAAGACGGCCCGAGAGGGCCCCAAGACGGCCCCAAGAGAGGCCCAAGAAGGGAAACGACGAACCGAGAATCCGAGCTTTCTACCCCGAGAGGTTCTCGGGAAGTCCCAAGAGGCCCCCAATCGGATCCAAGAGGCTCCCAAGAAGCTCCCAAGAGGGCCGACGAGGTTCCAAGAGATCTCCCAAGGTGGCCCCAAGAGGCACAACTCATTGTTTTTCGATTGGGCGTTGACGGGTTTTAATTTTTTCTGCCTTTTGGCATCCCGATGCTCCAAGACGGCCCAAGAGGCTTCCAATACCGCTCCCACATAGAGGAAGAGGCCTCCAAGAGGGCCCCAAGACGGCCCGCGAGGGCCCCAAGACGGTGCTTCAGGCGCCCAAGACGGCCCGAGAGGGCCCCAAGAGCCCCAAGAGAGGCCCAAGAAGGGGAACGCGACCCAACAGCAGAGCGGTCCCGCCGTAAGGCCCACAGGAGGCCGCAAGAGGCCCCCAAGTGGTCCGACGAGGATCCGAAAAGCTTCCCGAGGGCCTAAAAGGCCCCTAGGAGACGTCCAAGAGGCTTAAAAATAGCCCAAGAGTGCCCTCGATACGTCAAAACTGCTTCCAGGACGCCCCCGGGAGGCTTCCGGATTGCCTCAATCTGGCCGCAGGTGGCCTCAAGTCGGGCCTCCACGCAGCCAAGACGGCCAATGACGGCTTCAGATTGCAGAACCGATGCCCCCAAGGGAACCTCAGACGCCCCCCCAAGAAGCACCCAAGAGGTGCCTCCAACAGGCCGTAGCCATTTTGACTCAAGCTCAAGCGAAGGGCGGTCGCCAGCCGCCGCCGCGGGCGCGCAGCTGCCGTGGCACACGTTCGACAGACCCGCGCCGCGCACTGGCGATCCTCCGGCCCGTCGGCGCTGCCCGCTAATGCCAGCGGGCGTGCTGGGCGCCCCAATGCCGTGGCAAGCTCGGTCGTTCGTCGTTCAGCTCCTCTGCTTCGTCGCCTGCGCACCGCCGGCGGCGGCCGCCTCGCCAGAGGACTGCACCGCGTGCGCCGCTGCTCCCGCGGAGGAGGACTGCTCCAGCAGCGCGTGCCGCGTGTCCCTGCTCCAGAGCCGGCGCGAGGTGACATCGCCGAAGGCCTCGCAGAGCGCGGCTCTCGGCGCGAAGCTCTTTGCGAGGAAGCCGAATATCGTGCTCTTCTTGCCTGACGACATGTACTTCAAAGACTATTCCTCGTGGGATCAGAATGGATTCGCTCCCGCGGTGCCGAGCCGCATCCCGGTGACGTCCGAGCCCACCAATAACGGCGGGGTCATGCCGAACCTCGAGAAGATAGCTCAGTTTGGTGCCACTTTCGCGAGAGCGTACACCGCCTCGCCGCTATGTGCACCTTCGCGTTATTCCATTATGACTGGGCGATACCCGTCTCGAAGCTCCTATGGCTTTGACAAAGTAAGCGAGTATTTCCCTGGCATCTCCGAAGGCTTTGTGGGTCAGTACAGTATGTTGGGCCAGGGATACAAGGATCAGGTGAGCACAATCGGCATCGCTCTGCAAAGTCTAGGCTACGCTACCGGCATGATGGGCAAGTGGCACTTGACCCCATCCGAGGAGGCAAATTTCACCTCCCCGTACTCGGACCAGACAGCTCATGTGATGCGTTCAGGATTCGATTTTGTCGATGGCCTGTATATCGCGAACATGTGCGACTGCAGCCACCCTATTTGCGATACGTTCAATCACAACTTGGAGTGGATGTTGGACAGGGCAGTCTACTTCATGGACGACGCGATGACAAAAGGAAAGCCTTTTTTCTTTACTTTTCTCCGACCCCGCCGCACAATCCGCCAGCAGAAGACTCGTTGCTTGGGCACTTCACCCCATATCAGACACCAGCTGGGACTTTGGCGAGCGCTCCTGACGTATCCAAGTATTGTTCAAGCTGCAGGCTCGCGAAACGGAAGGAGATCTGGGATAGCGTCGCCGATATCTCGAACATGTCCGAGTATGGGTCTTGCAGACACTTGTTGGCAGCCCTGCGCTGGATCGACGAGTCGCTAGGGGTGCTCTACGACTTCCTCTCTGAGCGGGATGTAATCGGGGACACGTATATCGTCGTATCGACTGACCACGGGCCGGCCAAGTTTCGTTGTACAAGTTGGGCACTCGGGTGCCGCTTTACGCCGCCGGTCCGGGCATCCGAGCCGGCACCGTGGTGGAAGAGCCAGTCATCCACATGGACATGGCGCTTACGTTCTTGACTTGGGCCGGGGATTCTGAAGGAGCTTCCATGCCGATGAGCTCGGACGGGCTCAGTTGGTCGTCTTTGGTCTCTGGGGAGGCGAGTTCCCTGGACCGAGAGTCGATCACAACGCAGTCGTATTCTGACACGGCGACCATGACCAGAGAAGGCATGAAGAGATACGCGTGCCGCACCAGTCTCATCATCAATAGGACACTCACCAAGCTGCAAGACCCCATTCTCATTGATGAGTGCTCCTCTCTTGTCACGGACTTGGCTCTTTTTGTGGGCGATGCTTACCCGGCCCTCTACGATGAGGTCCAAGTGTACAATATAGTCTCCGACCCAACGGAGCAAGAGAACCTTGAGCGTTTTTGAGGTCAGTTGGCGTATTATCTGGTTGCCACAGGAACCACTTAATATGTAGGTGCACATTGAGCGCTGACAGAGTTTACACCGTCGACTCCGCAGATCTGCTCTGTCCTAGCGCTTCGCAGCGGATTGCCCCGTTTTCTTTAAGGGGTTCCCCCCCGGTGTGTCTAGCACACACACACACTTGCACGTGTGTGAATGCCATCGCTCGGATGCCGTCCGTTCAAGTGTTCATCTGCATCCTAGACGGCCGCGCTTCCTCTAGGCCGCGCTTCCTCTAGGCATCTCGGTTTCAACACGAAGCAAAGACAGGACTGACCGAGGCCAGCAGCGTTCAAGACGCCGCCCCCTATCTTATGAAGCTCGCTTGCACCAGCACGTGGGCCGATCTAGAGGACGATTTTGTAGATTTCGCTATATCCCAGACGAATTCCGGTAGTGCTGTATAGTCGCTTTCCGGGTGCTTCGGCCCCGCCCTGCAGCGCCCCCGCGGCGTTCCAAGCAGGTCGCAGTTCGCAGTTCGCATTAGGTCGGGAACCGACATTCGCTGAGTCGCGAAATGGCATTCGCGACAGGAGTTTTTGTTGCTCGATTGGTGACCTCCTCGAGAAGCCTTGCCCTTGGCTTGCCCGGTGCTTGGCAACAGACAGCCACACAGTAGTCTCAATGACTCAGAACAGTTGCCACGTTTTTTCATGCTGCAAGGAACAGGCAGTGTAGCGGACCCCCACCAGCTACCGATCGGGGGAGCGACGTGCTTCACCTGTAAATATCTGGCCTGCGGTCGTTACGCAAGAGCTTGCAATCTCGAGCATCATGGTCCGCGACAGGGTTAAGCGCCTCTGTGAAGCCCTTATGAAATCATTTGGTCCCGCTGCTGCTGTCTTCTTATTGTATGCTTATTGCTAGTGAGAGTGTTCTCTGCGGCAGTCTCGGCAGGCATCTGCCAGTACTTGGGCTAGTTTCGAAGACTTTCTTTGAAGTTGGCGTTCCGCGCTGTTTGGCCCAAGGTGGCCTTGAGGTTGCGTGATGCCGAAGCGCCCATTTTGCTTCATTGTACCCTTGCTGCGTTCGTTCGCTGTACCCTTCCGAATTCTGAGCCTTTCTTGGCTACATTTTTCCTCATTGCCGCAGGCGGGCCCGCCTGCCTGCGCGCAGTGCGCCGCCTCTCTCTTAGTTAGGGGGAGTCTCATCGTGCACAAGTAGAGGCCTTCCATCATAGACCACCTCCGCCCTGTACGGCTGATGGGATTCCTCCTCCTCCTCATCCTGCACCTCCCCGTCCCGCCCGCCGCATCCAATTCCCAAAGGCCTCCCCTCGGGAGAAGAGGTCGATGGATGGCGCCGCCGTGTGTTTCGGCCACCTCCCACCTTCCCTAGGCAGCTAGATTGGAGCGGTAAGAGCTCGCGCAGTTTTGCATGTGGTGCCGTTGCGCCATGCCGAGGTGCAGGTCAAGGCCCCCGCGCAATTTAGTTTTGGGTGAAGGCAGGGGAACATTCCGACAAGGCGCTCGATCTGGAAGGAAAAAAAAAGGTGCCTCCAACAGCCAGTTAACGAAGCATGCGAAACACCCCAGAAGCTCCTCAGTTGCCGTCGCGCGCCTGTGCTTGATAGCGTTGTCCAAGATCGTCCAGCGCCCCCACGGCCTGGGCTAGAACTTGAGCGCGCGCGAAGCGCGCGCGATGGTTCTAGCCCAGGGGCCCGAAAACAGCTGCCCGACCCTCCATGGGAGTACCGGGGCTCATTTTCGTTGTGTTTTTACGGGGTTTCGGCGTCCCGGGCCTCAGAGGCCGCCGCGATGGTCCCGGACATTTTCCAGATCCTCGGCGCGGGCTCCAAGACCATTCCGCAGAGGGCTCCAACAGGCTCCAGGGCAGCCCAAGAGGGCTCCAAGACGGCTCCAGGAACGACTGCAGGGTCTCATTTTTCCTGTGTTTTCTTTTGCAAGACGGCTCCAGGAAGACTGCATGTCTTATGAGGATGGCTTCCGCCTCTCGCCCCGAGCATCCCAAACTGCCTGAACGGGTCCCACTCGCCTTCCCAAAACCCAGCGCTTGCCCAAGCGCGTTCCGGACGGTCTTCGCCGGAACGCGCTGTAATGATCACGCGCTGCGGTTTTCCATGCCAACGTCCTCGGACGTGGGCGCCCTGCCACGAGCACGTTCCGGGAAGATGCTCCCGGAACGCGCTGAAAAGATATGGCCACATCTCGGGGACGCTCCCGGCACCGCTGCCCCAGCCTTTCCGGGCAGCCTCCACAGCGCTCCAGGAGGGCCCAAGACGCCCCCCAGGAGCCCCCAGAATGCGAAAGGATGGCCCAAAACGCTCATGAGCAGCCCAAGTCAGCCTTCCGGCGGCTCTCGAGGCTCCTAGGTGGCCTCCAAGAGACCCCAAGAAGTCTGATACGTATCACGGTAGGGCCCGAAGAGGCCAAAGTCATATGTATGTATGTATGTATGTATATATATATATATATATATATATTCAACGGTATTTTCAATGTTTTTGGCTTCTCGCGTTTTCGAGCTTGCACCGGTCCAAGAGCGCCGAAGAGCCTTCATGGGGGTACCGGGGCTCATTTTCCCTGTGTTTCTAAAGGGTTTCCGCGTCCTGGGCCTCAGAGGCCGCCGCCTTCGCCCCCTCATGGGAGGACGGGGCGGCCGGGGAGGTCCAAAATAGTCCAGGAGGGCCTCCAGAGGCTCCCAAGACGGCCCAAGCGGGCCCCGAGTCGCCGAAAGCCCGCTCCAGGACGCCCAAGATACACCCAAGACGGCCCGAGAGGCCCCCCAAGGCACTCCACGACGCTTCAAGACGCCTCTCCAGAGCGCTTCAAGAGGCCGAAATCGTGATTTTTTATAAGGTTTTCGAACGGTTTTGGCCTTCCAGCCTTTCGGCTGTCCGACGTTCCAAGACGGCTCAACCAGCCCCCAAGAGCGCCCCAAGATGGCCCAAGATGGCCCCAAGACGGCCCCAGAGTCGCCCAAGGCAGCCCAACAGAGCCCCAAGACGGCCCCAAGATGCGCCCAAGAGGGAGACCACGACTCCCAAATTCGACCCTCCCGCTTGAAGAGTGCCCCAGGAGGCCCCAAGGAGCCCCCCCAAAGGCCCGAGGAGGCCCCCAAAAGGCACCCAGGCGGCCCAAACGAGGCCTAAAGAGGCCACAAAACAACCCCGAGGAGGCCCCACAACGGTCCCAAAACGGCTACCGAGAAGCTGCGAAACTGCCTTCACGACGTCCCCGACAAGCCAACCACGAGATCCAAACCAACACCCATGAGGCCTCTGACCCACCACCCAGGGCACGGTGGCGGGAGCAGTGACAGCACTTGTGCACAGCATGTTCCGGCGGGAGCCTTCTGGAACACGTTGCAGGAGGAGGAGGAGGAGGAGGAGGAAGATCAGGAGGAGAAAGATAGCTGGAGTGGGAAGAGGAGGAGGGGGACAAGGAGGAGGAAGAGGCCTCCCAGAGAGCTCCAAGATCGCCGAAGAGGCTTCCAAGAGGGCCCTGGGCGGCCCACGAGGGCCCCAAGGCGGTGCCTGAGGCGCCCAAGACGGCCCGAGAGTGCCCCAAGACGGCCCCAAGAGAGGCCCAAGAAGGGAACGACGAACCGAGAATCCGAGCTTTCTACCCCGAGAGGTTCTCGGGAAGTCCCAAGAGGCCCCCAATCGGATCCAAGAGGCTCCCAAGAAGCTCCCAAGAGGGCCGACGAGGCTCCAAGAGATCTCCCAAGGTGGCCCCAAGAGGCACAACTCATTGTTTTTCGATTGGGCGTTGACGGGTTTTAATTTTTTCTGCCTTTTGGCATCCCGATGCTCCAAGACGGCCCAAGAGGCTTCCAATACCGCTCCCACATAGAGGAAGAGGCCTCCAAGAGGGCCCCAAGACGGCCCGCGAGGGCCCCAAGACGGTGCTTCAGGCGCCCAAGACGGCCCGAGAGGGCCCCAAGAGCCCCAAGAGAGGCCCAAGAAGGGGAACGCGACCCAACAGCAGAGCGGTCCCCCCGTAAGACCCACAGGAGGCCGCAAGAGGCCCCCAAGTGGTCCGACGAGGACCCGAAAAGCTTCCCGAGGGCCTAAAAGGCCCCTAGGGGACGTCCAAGAGGCTAACATAGCCCAAGAGTGCCCTCGATACGTCAAAACTGCTTCCAGGAGGCCCCCGGGAGGTTTCCGGATTGCCTCAATCTGGCCGCAGGTGGCCTCAAGTCGGGCCTCCACGCAGCCAAGGCGGCCAATGACGGCTTCAGATTGCAGAACCGATGCCCCCAAGGGACCCCCAGACGCCCCCCCAAGAAGCACCCAAGAGGTGCCTCCAACAGCCAGTTGACGAAGCATGCAGAACACCCCAGAAGCTCCTCAGATGCCGTCGCGCGCCTGTGCTTGATAGCGTTGTCCAAGATCGTCCAGCGCCCCCCCGGTCTGAGCTAGAATCTGAGCGCGCGCGAAGCGCGCGCGATGGTTCTAGTATATATATAGATATATGTATGTACACATATGTATGTGTCGGCGCTCCTGGAAGGCAATGGTCCGAGAAGGACTTCGACGTGCGCGTGCGCAGACGTGCGCGTATGGTTCGCTCGCTATTGCTCGGCAGAGTTGGCGGGCGCGCGGTGGCTGTCTGCCGTCTTCCACGTGCCCTTCCGTGTGTGTGTGTGGCCCGCACCTGAATATTTTACGCCATCCGTTGCTGCAAGTGGTAGTGTGCAACGTTTTGTGCACTGTGCCTTCGGCCATGTTCGATCGCAATTCGCACTTCCATCTGCTGCCTGCGCTCGAGGTCAGTATCGTTACACCGATCCCTATCCCTATCCCTATCCCCATCTACATCTCGAGCCCCACCGTCTCACCACCTCAATTGGGGATATGACCCTCGAAACCCAAAGAGAGCAGCCTGTATCCCCGTCAGGGGGGTGAATCGGCCAGAAGGGCCCTGTCCACGCTGGTGGGGATGGGGATCGGTCAAACGATGCTGATGAGGACCCTCAGCGCCGCTGACTTGAAAGTGTGGCCCGCATCATTTCACTCGACAGAGGCTCATCGCCGACAGTTTTCTTGCTGATGCTGGTGCGTGCGCGCTCGCAGACTATTGGCAGGTGTTTCAGTGAACAACCAGCGGGGATGTGTTAGGATGCCAGTCGTTCTCGAATGATCATGACATGCGCGCGCAGCGGCGCGCGCATGTGCCCCGCATCCTTTTTTTGGGGGGGAGCGGATGTTTGAGGGGAGCGCATGTTCCCTGGCATCGCTCGGACGTGTGCATTTTTTCTCGGCGAGGGCCATCGAGGAGCATCCTTGATCATTTGGCGAAGCAAACACGCACGAAACCGAAAAAAACACAGGGAATGGACGTCCGAGCGATGGCCAGGTTCTAGTTCAAAGCATGTGCGCTGCACAGCATTACCTCTCAACCATTAGGGTGGGAGAGGTCGATACCTGTTGGCTGTGGATGGTATTACCTTTACATATGATGAACGGCCGTGTGTGGTAAATCTGATAGGCAAGTGAATGCGCGCAGGGGTGTCGGTAACCACGACCTCGGGTAGATTGTAATTCTCTTCCGACTTTTGCAGAGGCGAAGCGGCTGGTCCTGCCGACCCAGAAAGGGGGACGACGAAGACGACGACGGCGACGACAACGACGCTCGCGGGCCCTCGTGGGGGCCCTTGCGAGCCCTGCTGGCCTCGGGGACCTCCCCCAGGACCCCCCCCCGGGGACCGCCCCGAGCGATCCCCTCCTGCGACCGCCCACCCCTGGCAGGGAAGGGATCGATGGCCCTCCCTTCGACCCGATTGGCGCTCCCCCCTCCTGCGGCTCTTGTTGGGCTCTCTTGGGCCGTCCTGCTCGGGGAGGGGGGGGGGGGCACGACCCCCAGGGCCCTCCTGCGGGGGGTGGGGCGGGGACTTGGCGCTCCTCCCCCCCCCCTCCGAGCTTTCCCTCGGGACCATTCCTCGGACCCCCCCCCCCCGGGCGCGGGGAAGGGATCAAATGGAAGAGGCCTCCCTTCGAGCCGATCCCGGCGCTGTTCGATCTTCGTCCAGCAGGGTCGCTCGAGGAGGAGGGCACCTGGAAAGGGGAATTGGCGACGGCGACTCCAGAGGAAAAACGTTCGACACACGCCGACATGGTTGGCGGACTTTCCCCCAGCGTAGGCTTTGCCCAAGCGGGCCTTCCTTTGCTTCTGAAGGGCCGGTGGGTGCTGGGCCTGTGCCAGCCTTGCCTGGGTTCCTTGGTCTCGGTTCCTTGGTTTCTCGGTTCCTTGGTTTCTCGGTGTTGTTCCTTTGCTGCCTTCCTCGTGTTTCTTGGTCTTGGTTCCTCGGTTCCTTGGTTCCTTGATTCCTTGGTTCCTGGGCCCATTGGTCTTGGTTTCTGGGCTCCTGGGTTCCTTGGTCCTGGTTCCTTTGTTCCTTGTTCTTGGGTCCTGAGTTCCCCTTGGTCTTGGTTCCTTGCTGCCTCGTCACACAGTGCCGCTTAATGTCAAGTAGTGCCAAGCACTGCCAAGAAATGTCAGGCAGTGCCTAGCAAGGCCACGAAATGCCAAGCACTGCCAAGCAATGCCAAGCAGTGCCAAGCAACATTGCCGACAGAGCAAGTCCATGTGCTAAGCGATGGCAGGCGACACCAAGCAGTGCCACGCACTGAGCCCATGCAATAGGAGGCGTTCCCCCGATAGGGGTCGCGCCAGGCTAGTTCATGAGAAGGGATCTGTGCGGAGCTGGCCGGTTGGTGTAAGCTACGTGGCGCTCGAGACGGCGACCGGCGGCGGCGGGCGCTAGCGGCTCGAAGAATGCACAGAGCGAGTGATTTTTGTTGCCTCTTGGGGCCCTTTTGCGGAGGCCTCTCGGGACCTCTTGTGAGCCCCGGGGGTCTCTTTGGCCGTCTTGAGGCCATCTCGGGAATCTTCGAGAGCTCTTCGGCCGTCTCGTGGGCCTCGGGCCTCCTGGGCCGTCTTTGGGGTCGTCTCGGCTCGTAAGGCCCAACATCGCCCGGGAGCGCCCAGAAATCGGGCCTGTGAGCTCCCTAGAGGGGAGCACAGTGCTCAGTGCAGCGGACTCGACCGAACTCGAGAACACGTCGTGTCGTGCCTCGGGGCCCGTCGGCGGGTCTGACCAGCCGCGTGGCGGCAACGGGGCAGCCGCGAGGCCACCGCGGGACGGCCTCGGGTCGAGCGCGGGGCAGCCGCGGGGCAGACGCGGGGCAGCCGCACACCCGTGGAGGCACCGCGGGGCGACCGCGGGACAGCCGCGGGACGAGCACGTGGACGGACTGCGGGACGAGTGCAAGACAGCACCGGGGGCAGCCGCGCGAGACGACCGCGCGACTCGCACGCGGCGAGGACGGGCCGGCCGAGGGACGGTCGCAGGACGGCCGCGGGAGAACTCGCGGGGGCCCCGGGGGGAGTTTCGGGAAGCACCGGGCTCGAGTTTCGGGAATCAGTCTGACGTGAGATGCTCGTTGCCACGTTCGACTGCACGTAAGAGTGACCCTTCGCCGGAGTGGCCTCTGGTGCGCGGCCATTGGGGCCCCCCGATCGTCGCGTGCGGTGCGACAGCAGCGTCACGCTCGCTCGTGCTTGGTCCCCCCGCGGCCCACAAAGAGCCGCGCACCAGATGTCCCTCTTGCCCAGGGTCGCTCACTGCGTGTAGCCCACCCGGGGTGAGCCCTCACGCACTCGCGCGGCTTCGCCTCGTCGTCATGCGCGGCTCGACCCAAGGCCAGTAGCGATTTCTGGGTGGGGGCCACTCGGTTCAGCTTCGTCTCTCGGCCCATGCGTCTGTGATCTTTACCACTTTCACGGGCGTTCTGCATGGCTCTCCATCTGACTCGATTCTGACCGCCCACGTAGCCATCCACCTAGCTATCTCTTTGGCTGTTGTTTACGCCTCGCGAATCCCCACCAGCCCATTCGGGAGCCCTGCCCACGGGAGCCGACGGCAAAAGGGATGAAGAGACGCACACAGTGAAACATAGCGAGCAACCAGGGTGAACAGGCTATCTTGGAGCATCGGAGACCTTTTTGGAGCTACGCAGCTGTATTTCGAGTAGGGGATGGACTACAGAATCGATGTACCCCATAATTGATTTGTTCGTCGAGTCTACGAAAAAACATAGAAGGCTCCGTAGAGCCTTCTACGCATTCGTTAAACTATTCGACGAAACATCAATTAGGCCGTTACCGTGTCCCGGAACGCTTCTGACTCCGCTTGCGATCTCGCTGGCGGACGCGACCGAAAAAGTATCAGTATCCCCACCAGCCTATTCAGAAACCTTGCCCTTCAGAGCTGACGGGGAAAAGGGACGAAGAGACGCGTCTAGGGAAACAAAGCGAGCAAGGGGGTGGCCTTGGAATGGAAGGCCTCTTCGGGACATCCCTGGGTGCCGCGTGTGGGCGAGGGGAAGAGGAGGATGAGGAGGAGGAGGATGAGGATGACGAGGAGGAGGAGGAGGATGACAAGGAGGACATGGACGCGGATGAGGACGAGGACAAAGAGGACGAGGATTACGATGAGGACGATTCGGACGAGGACTCATGGAGGCGGTGGTGCTTCGGAGGCGCTCCTGCTGCAGGCGACTGCTTTTCTCGGGGACTCGGCTCGGCTCTTCGAGCTCGCCGTCCTCACCGTGGATCGGCTGGTCGCACTGCAGCCTGTTCACCGAGCCAGTCGACAGCGACGCGGGGGAGGCCGCCGAGGAGAGCGTGTTCGCAAAGGTGGCCCAGAGGCGGCGCATCCGCCGCAGCGTCACTGCCAATCTCGGGCCGGGCCTTCCCACGCACATCTTGCCGGCGGTGACGACGTCGAAGATCCTGTCGCGTCGAGGGACGTGCCCGACGGGGATGTGCCTCAGTGCAGACGGCAGCGCGGATTTCTCTGCCGTGGAAGGCGTCCCGCGATGCATTTCAGGCTCGTCATCGTCGTCGGACTGAGGGCGCTCGCGAGGTGGTGTGCTGAGGCGCTGGAGCGTGCCGCGCAGGGCGGGGACTGCCGCGCAGTCCGTTCATTTTTTTTGTTTCCCAAGCTCGTATTTGCACATCGCTACAGCAACAGGAACGCAACGAGACGAACCACTGACTGACTGCCGCAACGAGACGAACCAGTGGACTGTTGTTGGTTTGCAGACCGTGCATCGCCATGGCCATGTCCACGGTGTGGCGACTGCCGCGCTCCGCCCGCAGCCGCAAGCGCATGCGGACCGGGCGCAGCGGGTGCGTTATTTTTGAGTCCGACCGTGACCGATGGCCACGCCGGCGTTGAATTCTTCTTCCACTTCCTGCCAAATGCCGGAGGCTTCAGGTCAGATTTGAGCTCTCATGCTCAACCTGTACAGACCGCGACCACCTGTGCATGTCATGTTTCATCTACCTCCAGTGAAAGCGTTTTCGCCAACTCTCTAAACATCTGCTAGCAAGACTTGTTTGGAGGATCATCGTGGTCAGTCGAAGGGCCGCGGTAACCGCGACACTTGTACATCTCGAGCCCGTCTGGCCTCCCCGAATCTCGCCACTTGCCGCCGTTCCCTCGTGGCGGCGGGTTTCCAGAAGGCTTGGAACTGATGTGCAGTTCGATACCGTCTCGCTGTCGGCAATGCGGCTTGCACTGTTTTTGTCACATAACCGAGCGGTCGCACGGACCAATACAGCACAATCTCAATCTTATGTGCCCAGCAGGGTCACGTCTTTGCAGATGCTTCAAGGTCAGTTTCCCGTTTGTGCCACCATTCCGCACGGGTGCCACCACCGTGCACGGGCTTCCTTCTGCCACCAGCCTGTTCTTTTCTGGGGCTGGTGTCTGTGACCACCGCAGCCTGCGGACAGTGGCTGTCG